GGTAAGTTTCGGCCTGGGCCCTGTAGGTTTGTAGTGTTCTTGAAAAGCTCTTTTCTGTCTGCGCTACTTACCCTACTTTTTCCAGAACTAACATTCCAAAAGCTCACGCTGGTGCCCGACGCTGGTCCGATCGACACGCTTCAGGGGCCAAGAAAGCTCGCAGACACACAAGGACTCGAGACTTAGACCCGGAGTGCCCCCAACATGGCGATGCCCCCACTCAGTTGCAAGATCTTCCCTGGACCCCAAGGTACTTTCATGGGCATTGGGCCATTATTTTACCTACTTTGCTGGGTTTATAGTCCTGCTTATGAATTGACTTGGAGGTTTTGGTGATAAGCTGGCCAGAAACTCCGATTTACTAACCTGCATGCGCTACGAATCCTCCCTGTTCAAGCCTTTGCTTGTAACCAAACTTTCTGCACTGGTTCTGTCTGGATTCCAAACCCTTTGTGGCCCAAACAATTCGCCGTAAACCTTGGTGCCAGGCGTGAAACAGCGGCAGTGCTTCGCGAAATCGCGACTGCTTCCAGCCTGGCAGTGTTTATTGGTGTTGCTGTTGATCTTTGTTGTCCTTAGGTCTTAGGTCCACCAGCTGTCGAAATGACTCTGCGAGTAGCAGCGCTCTCCAAACCTCTGAACCCTAAGACCTTATATAACCCCAACAAACCCAGCAACAGCAAACCCAAAAACCCCGGAAACACAAACCACAGCAACAACAAACTCGAGAAGAACAAACACCAGCCGTAAGACCCCGGAAGCCCCGTAAACCCTAAACTCAAAAGCTCTCAATCCACAGAAGCTGGCTGGGCTCCCCACGCACGAAGGCCAGTGCCTGAATTCCTCCCAGCTTTTGCGGCTTCTGGGTTTAAGGGCTTTCAGGATGCTTAAGGTGCAGTTTGGGGTTTTGAAAATGTTGGCGCCCGACTTGGGCTGTCACCTAAACCCGTAAATTGTATACTTTAAACCCTACCTATACTGTAGTCTCCCACGTGACTCCTTTCATCGATTCTTCCGTATGCAGGATCCTATCCCTGAGCCCTAAACCCTAAACCCAAAACTCTAAACCCTAAGCCCTAAACTCTAAACCCTAGACCTTAAACTCTAAGCCCTGATTCGCAAAAACAGGCACGGAAGTTCTGGGACCTCGGGGCCGCCTAGAGCTTCGGCTCACATCAACAAAAACGTCGCCAGATGAGCTGGGTATTTTTGACACTCACACTCGGACAAAGCCTGGCAAGGTCTGTAGCAATCCTGGTCCTTCGTGAACAAGCAACTGGCACTTATCACCAGGCGCACCCTACAACACATCCCTTGCTCCCTGTTAGAACGGTTTCGACGCTCACTCTCGCACAAGGCAGGCAAGGCTCCACATAGTTAGAACGGTTTGGGCTTTAGGGTTTAGGGTTGTGCTTTAAACCCTTTGAAAATTATGTATGAATAGGTTCCCTTTCTAAGGAAATAAGGGAAATAAAAAATGATCCCAAAGCACAGCCCAGATGGGAGTTTCCGAAAATGGGGGACCCTAATTAGTACCCTAAATGGTAGGATCCTTATCATAAGGACCTGAAAATTAGGTACCGCTAATTGTCGGAAACTCCAGGGGTTTATACAGGGTTCCCATGGTTGAGGCTTAGTGTGTAGGGGTAAGGTTTGGGGTGTAGGATTTAGGGTTCAAGGGTCTTTGCAGGGCTCCGAGGTTGCAGGGCATGGCCTTAAGCTGCCTTCGACCTCGCAGTGCATAGCTCTGACCTGGGGCAACCCATCCTGCACAGACCTTTAGGATCCTTCGTTGGGAGCGACAAGGCCGCTTCCTTTCATAAACAAGGCTGACAATAGAACAAGGTCCGTGTTCGAGTATCCTGGACCTCATAGGAAACAGCTGTCATAACTGTTTATGAACAGGGGCCTATGTATACATTATGAGGTATTATCCGGTAGAGTTTGCGTCCGAAACAGCAGGGTCCTTTCATGTAGAACTTGTCCCCGCGCTTCCGGCAAACGGGCACGACCTGGCACACCCAAGACTACAATGTCGAAGGAGACACGAACAGAGACAGAATAGTGGGCTCGAACCCAGGCATCACGGGTCGGGAGATCAGCAGAAATAGGGTTCGGGTTTCGAGGTCTCTGTCGATTTTTTCAGGCTTCGGGCTTTGTCAAGCTACTTATTACTTGAGCTTAAGTCAGTGTCACAACGCTGCAGGGCTTTGCGCTTCGATCCTTGGCCGGCACGATCTCTCGAGAGACCTCGCCAACTACAACCCCCACACCTGGGATAACCTAAGTGGTACTGCACGCGATATCTAGAGCCTCAGCCCCAACAGGATGTCCTAAACTCTAAACTTCCTACCACCTGGGTAACCAAGTCATGGCGTGGAAGATCTTGCGCATCCCGCCTCCTCCAACAAGTCTGACAGCCTCGAAAAGCGAAAAGCGGAGCTTCTGAGACGGCTGGTGATAGGCTTTCTTTGACTAAGGGTGCTAGCAAGGATCAACAAGGTTTCATAGTCCCGTATATAAGAAACTTTACAAGGGGCTGTGGGTTACGGGCTTTGTCCAAGCTTAACAGACCACAAGGCTTTTTGTCTAGGCATCATCTTGTTGGATTCAAGCAAAACGCCTATTAAGACCTGCAATCTGCAGTGCAGTGCTGCACGACCGCGCTACTTTTGCGGCGACTCCGCGTGCGCATGAGGGCATCACAGTTATCTGCCGTCCTGTTTTGAAACAGCCTACAGCTGCCCTCGTGGTAACCTCTGCTTTGCCGCAGTCGCGCTGCGGACCTCTTCCAGAAACCCTTTGGGTTTCTGTAGAGGCTTCGAGGACCCATACTTGCCCACTCCACGGAAAGGATGCTCAGGGACGTCGAACCTTGGTTGCCAGGCTGGTTGCGGAAACGGTGGTGTCCTCAATGTTGGGGCATCAGTGCTGCTGAAGATAACGAGTTCTACGAATATCCTCATTGCAGCCAGCAGCATGCTATTATAACGCTTCTTGTGTGCTCCTGGTGTCGTCTTACCCCGTCTTACCATGCTTAACGATCGATGATGAAAACCACCAGAGTGCTGATTTGGAAGGAACATGAAAGGAACCCATACTGGCCAAGGAACTTATATGAAAGAAGTTAGGCAATCAGGGGATCTAGTTTTATTGAGCTAGGGAGCTAGGGAGCTGAGACATAACAGGAGTACCTTCCTTCATTCACTGATGCCAAAACCCAGTCATAAAGCCTGAACCCAAATCCTTCGTCACGAGCAGGGCTGATACGGGATAAGAATATGGATATACTGAGCCTGGCAATGGCCGTGTGATACGGAACAGCAGCTCTGCAGGGGTTGGCGGCTCTAGATTCACCCGACTTCAGGCATATAGGATTCTGAAACCGTTAGGCATCGGTTCTATTGCAGGCTTTAGTGTCTATTGCATGAACTGCACCCCCGGAGCTTTAAAAATATCCCCGGAACTGCAAAAATACCAAGGCCGGCAGCCGATGTCCCGGGAACCATGCCGCGCAGTAATGCAGGGGCCTAATAATTAGAATAGAGTTTTGGGGTATATTGTCCCGTAAGGAACCCCCAAAATAGTATGGGTAATTATTAAGGCACCTATATTATAGCACCCTAATAGTAACCCTTATAGGACCCTTTTAAATAGTATGGGTAATGATTGAAAGAGTGCTTGGTGATTCTAGAGCCCTGGAAACCCCAAGACCCTGAGGTAAACTCAAAGCCCAGCCGCGGTCTGGCTTTGATTTTGGGAATCGACCGCAGCTGGTGATCTCGGTCACATGCTGCCACACCGGTTACCGCCTTCGGAGCATCTTCAGCCCAGAAAACCCAATACCCCTTAATTAAGGAATATGCCTTAACTCATAATATTTAGGCCTCTATAGTTTCAGATATATTCCTTAATTAAGGGGTATTGGGATCTCTGGGAGCTACTCGGTGCGGGGTTTCGGACGCGGGCCTTTGCTGGGCTTTGAGTCTGAAGTTTGAGGGTCTGGGATCTCAGGAAAAGGGTTTCAGAGCTGGAGCAGCCATTAGCTGTTGTGGTATTTTTGGGCTTTCGGTGCTTGTAGGGTTTGAATGCCCAGCTGTTTGCCGACAGTTTCATAGCATAACCCAATTTAAACTTGAGCTGGTGGTTTAGTGCGCGGGTTTCACGAACATCATTCACAGTGCGAAGATCATACACAGTGCTGCTTATTTATCCTATAAGACTCCAAGTATACAAACAGTCGCTACTTTGGCCTTTGGAGTCTGTAAATAATACCTACTTCGGGCTATTTGGAGTCTTAGGGTGCAGCCCTGCAAACTATTGCAATGATGTAGTACAGGAAGCCCACTAGTTCTTGGGCGGTACTGCAGGGGCTGCACTGAAAGCTTCACACCCCGACCTCTCGTGAATCTGAATCTTGGTGTTGCTTGTGACATGCATCGGCCCCTGCGCAAGGTGACACGCACAAGCTTCGAAGAGAGCTTGGCTTAACCATAAACTATGCCACTGACTGTGGCTCAAGATGCAACAAATTCTCTGAGCGGATCATGGGGGTTGGGGTTATTCCGGGTTTGGGATTGGGGTCCCTTCCTGGTATCCTCGTCCTTCCTCTTCCTGATAACCGAGACCCGAGCCCGTCTTCAGGGTTTCAGGGAGGGATTAGTTCGTTCAGGGATTCAGGGCTAGGAGGTGAGTGAGGATTGAGGTGAAAGGCATCTCCGATGGCGGGGGATTTTAATGATGTTCCTCGATGTCTCCCTTCTCCGACTCCAACTCACTTCAGCAGAATATCAGACGGAAGCCCTAACCAAGAGGTTAGGAGCCCAAGCGCTCCAAGCCATCACTCCGCAACACTTGTCGCAGCAGCACAGCATCAGCAAGACACCTTTGTTTCTGGCCAGGACAGAGGAGACATGACTGATGTTTTAATGTCAGGAGCAGATTTCTTGGTCCGGCAAATGCACGAGATCAGGACAGCGAACGGCGACGTGATTCAATTGATGAGGCAACTTGAGGGGACTCAATGGAACATGGTAGCCATAACCGACATTGAACAGGTGCACCAGAATCTCGAAGGGCTACGCCTAGAGACGGAGCGCCGGACGAACTTGCTTGCGACAGGTTTAACTACGGTTGTAGCTGGAGTTGACCAGTTACGGGAGGCCGCAGTGCAGAGTAGCCAAGCGTACGGATCCTTGAATCAGCGAGTGGCTGAGTTGACAGAGAGCATGAAACACCTTGCCCAAAGAGTCGATGGCATTGAAGGACAAGTGTTTCTCCATGAGGCGATGAGCCAGCGATTGACCGAGCTGAACGAGCATGTGCTTGGTTTGGAGTCCCGGGGTTTAGCTAGTGGCGAAGCTGAGCGGGAAACCTTATTGAAGCACAATAAACTTGAATCGGACAAGCTTTGGTTGAGGATTCTTGACCTACAGGAGGTCGTTCAGAAGCTCGAGTCCAGACCCCTTGAGGAGGAGAGTGGACGATCAAAGGAGCTTGCATCGGTCATGGCGCGAGTTGTGGAAACTGAGCGGATTTGCAAACAGCTGCGTGCGAGAGATGAGGAGATCCAAGGTCACCTGAGTCATATCTTGAGCCGCGAGCCAAAGCCAGATCCTGTAGTACCCACGCAGGCGCATGAGGTGCAAGATAAGGGGCCTAGCGGGGTCCAAACATTCAACATGGCGAGTGGGACGCCACTCCAGGATCAAACGGATGCTGATAGAGATCAGTGGTGGGATGCCTATGACGAGAAGCCAATACAAGACTGGTATAGGGACCCACCTGGGCTGGTTAACGGTTCATGGGCACCAAGTGCTCCACCTCCTGCCCTACCTCGTGAACTTGTGAAATCGGAGACATCTTCAGCTGCAGGTCATGCCTTGCAATTGGAGTCCAAAGATCTGCGTGTCCAAGGCGGTCAGTGGAAGCTTCTCAAGGAGTTTCCAAAGATCGATGAACCGAGAGGCCAAGCGTGGGAAAAGGGGCTGCAGTTTGCCCAATATGCCACTGAGATGGTCTCAGTCGCGAGTTGTGTGGGATCAGGTTTCGCTCGCTTCGTGAGGTTTCAGATCGACCGCGCATTGGAACGGTTTAAAACAAGAATGGATAGAGGAATCAGTGACTGGGATTTGATACCGACAACACCTGCTGGATGTGACGAGTTTGAATCTCGACTCTCCATGACTCTTTTATCGCAAACTACGGATGAGATCAAGCGTGGAGTCATTGAATCGGCAGCGGGTCAGGTTGTTCCATCACTGGCTATCCTTGAGGCCATCCTTGAGCGATTCCAACCTGGAGGAGTGGAAGAGAAGGCATCCTTGACGAGCTTTTTGCGGAATCTGCCTCATGCATCATCCTTCACAGAGTGTTTGGCAACGCTGCGTAGGTTCAAGTTGGCAAACTCGCGAACATCAGCTCTAGGACTACCTAGCCACCCTCCTCATGAAGCGATTGCATCCTTGAATAGCCTTGTCAAAGCCTTGGAGAAGAAGAATATTACTCTGAGTACTCGCTTGAACTTGTTACGGCTTCGCCCGGAGATATTGAATCCTACGGAAGAGGGTGTGAGTCTCTTGTTGACGGCGATTGAATCAGAGGCGAGGCGCCTTGCTGCTGAGGAGTTTTCCAAACCTGGTCAATCCAAGGGATATGAGGCTGGTCATGGTGAGTACGAGATTACAGCGGCCAAGGGCAAAGGCAAGGACAAGGGCAAAAAGGGGAATGCATCAGGTGACACCAAGTTTATTCCTTGTGCCTTCTTCAACACGGAGCGGGGATGCTTGAAGGGAAAGGATTGTGAGTACATGCATGCCGCGCCTAAGGGAGCAAAGGCTAAGGGGAAAGGAAAGGACAAAGGAGCAAAGGGAGATGAAGCTAAGGCTAAGGCTAAAGCAACACCTGATGCAAAGGCAAAAGCAGCAGCTAAGGAAGCTGAGGCTAAGGCCAAGGCAAAACCGGATGCAAAGGCGAAGGCTGCAGCTCTTGTCGGCGCCGAGGCGAAATCTGCAATGACCATTCGTGTGCAGGCGAGCATGGCCATGTGCGAATCCGAATCAAACTCAGATGATCACAATTCTCCTTCGGAACTTTCCGAGATCGACGGCGTTGGGAGTGATGATCTTACTCCAAGCGAGTTCGGTGATGAGCTTCAGGAGGAGAGTGATGATGAAGTGGGCTGGGTTTGGAGTCTACGGTTGACTGGTTTAGAATGGAGAATGTGGACTAGCCCGGGAAACATTGTCATCAAGGCCCACGCGGAGTTCGAACATCTTGAGAATTATCAGAGGCTTGAACAGGGAGTATGGCAATTACATCGGACGGGTATGCTAGATGAGCTGCCAGCTGTCTTGAACGAGGAATGGACGGTGAACGCTGTGCACCCTGTGTATGTCTTAGATCCCGTCACGAGAGTGTTCAAGAGGGCGGAAGCCTTTGAACTTGAGCGGGGAGATGATCAGTCGAAGCTTCGCTTTGTTGTAGCGGTGGACAGAAATCGACCGTATGTAGAACCGTGGACTGAGGATGCATGGGTAAGTGAATGTTTGCGGTTCGGTTTTGGCGCTTCCAATGTTCATGTCCAGGATCGGATTCCACTCGAAACCATGTTGATTGGACACGGGTTTGGCCACTTAGCGGAGACCCTGGGATTGCTAGGAGCTGAGTACGCGGATGACCTTGCAGTTCTGGGCCCTCAAGACTTGATTGACAATGGGATTCCACGGCAGGAGGCTGAAGACTTGTTTCAGCATGGAGGTGTCATGTATGAAGTTCACACTCCCACTGGAGTTCGAGGTGTTCCTGGAAATGAAGACCGGATTGAGGAACTAGCATTTTCTCTTTATGCGTCATGGCAGGCGGGAGATCCGGTGAGTGATGAAGAGTATGATGCGGAAGTACAGCAGAGGTTCCATCGTATGATCCGTAGAAGGCGCCAGGGCTTTGCGAACATGTGTTGTGTTTCCGCTAGTCGGGTTGAGGGTGATAGCATGGTTCTTGTGGACAGCGGGGCTAATGAAGTTCTTCGCCCTCAGACTCGGAGCCAGCCGGGCGATACGCCGCTTCAAGTCACTCTCGCGTCAGGGTCGCATTGCAAAGCCACCATGAACAAGCATGGAGAAGTGTGTATGATCTCAGAGAATGGGGAGAGTGGATCGTGGGTGTTAGAAAGATCATTGATTTAGGAGGTTCATTTCATTGGGACCCAAAGGGAGCCACAATCAAGTATCCCCATCCTTTTGAGCATGGTAGGATCATGACGGTGGAATGCATTGTCGCAAATGGTCTGCCTTACATGCGATGGTCGGATTTCAAACTTGCGCGCATTGCACTCTCCAAACACTACAGAAGCCAGCTGAAAGAGAGTAGCGGAAACAAAGCCATCATTGAATCATCAGAAACCTTCTCAGGACCTGGGGCAAAACATCCGGAAAGCCACATTGTAGACTGGGATGATGTTCTAGAGTTTCAGGAGGAGTCTGGGGATTTTATTCGGGGTTCAAAGGGCGTCGCGGAGGTGACGAGCGAGGCTTATGCGGAAGCTTTGCTTGGCAAGGATTGCTTGGAACATCAGGAGATTCTTGAAGCTGTGAGAATGGCACGCTTGAAACCCATGTCCATTCGTAGGAAATCCAAAGTGATTGGCGAACCTGAGGTTGTGAATCTGTGGGTTTTCGGAGCTTATGTCAAGGGCGGAATTCATGGAGTCACCCGGGTTAGCAGGGATCATCCGATGTTGACGCGACTGCTTGCTAAGTACATGCGTCAACATGCCGAGGGTCCTTTCGCTTCGCTTGTAGTTGCTGAGAATGTTGCTTTCAAGCCACATAAAGATCCCAATGACGGTACTTTTGCATCAACGATTGTCGGCTTGAGTAGCTTCAAAGGCGGCCATTTGTGGACGGAGTGTTCGCCATGTGATTGTGAAGAGGACAAGGTCGTGTGGAGATATGTGAATCCAGATTGTGAACCGATACCTGGACAGTTGAACAGATTGGACGGTGGAAGATCAGCCACGTTCTGTGGTACCAGGTGGCACGGAACCGAGCCATATGTTGGTACAAGGTCTGTGTGCGTCTGTTACATGCCGAGAAATTGGCAAAGCTTGGGATCCGGGGATCGTGCAGCACTTGAGTCCTTGGGGTTTGTACTTCCAGAGGATCGCGTTGAAAGCATGACCGAGTTCATCGAAGCCAGTGAGACAGAAGTATCCGTGTTCAAGGCCATGACCGTCGAGCCTGAGGACATTCTTTTGATTCCTGAAGCAGGAGTCACTGTTGAGGAAAGAAGAACGCTCAAGCAGAATTCTCACAATCAGCATGCGCAACACATACCATCACAACACACACTCTCAACTCCTCCACTCCCTGATGTTGATGATGAAGATGATGAAAGGGATGAGGGTTGTTTGGAAGGTGGGATGCGTTGTAGCGAAGTGTTCGTTAAAGAGAGTGCTGAGAGAGAGAGCGCGGGAGAGAGAGAACCATGGCCCTGCGTTTCTGATTCGACTTCGGAGCGGCTCACTGAAGAAGATGAGCTTCGGAAATGCTGTCGTGAAGGCCTGTATCATCCAAAGAGTGAGTCCAGCATCAAGGCCAGGGGACATCGAAGGCCCCATCGCAAGATTTCCGGAAAGGATGTGCAGAACGGTGTGATTTCCATTGATCTCACTGGACCCCATAAGACATCTTTTGCAGGACACAAGTACGCGCTGATAGCCTGTGCGCATTTGTCTGAGGGCTTGGATTTGCCTTTTGCAAGACCGTTGAAGAACAAGGAGGCGGCCACCGTGACAGCTGCACTTAGGGATATCTTGAATCAACTTGTGTCTCTAGCCGAGGGGGAGCAAATCACTTTCAGGATTCATTCTGATCAGGGTCGGGAGTTCACTGCTCGTCTGTCCGAAGAACAACTTAAGACATACAATCATTATCGTACCTTTGCGGTTCCGTATTCTCATCAATCGAACGGGCGAGTAGAGAACTTGATCGACCAACTTAAAACCTCTACGGCGACTATGCTCCTGAGGGGCAAGTTGGACTTGAGATTCTGGGATGAATTGATGGTTCATGCGGCGAAACTTCGCCGAATGAAGGCGTTGAACATGAGGATCCCCAAGGACATGCCAGTGCCGGGGGATTATGTGCTATCGCGCCTGGCAAGAGATCAGATGCCGGACTTTCAAGATCGCACGGAGCCTGGAATTTTCTTGGGTCTTTCGGAACATGTGGCGAATGGGTCAAAGGTGTTGGTTGAGAGGGATGGTCGTGTTGTGGTGCGGTTTGCAAGACTTCCCATTCTTCTTGATAAAGAAAGGCCACGTTGGAGGCTCGTAAAGAATCCCGGCACAGAGCAGGCAGCCTGGGTTTCAGATAAGGGTCAGATTGCGTGGACATCGCCGACATCAGATGAAATCTTGACTGTTGAAGAAAAGCTGGGGTGCAACGTCGCAAGTCCTGATGAGGTGTATGCTAAGTTGAACAACATCCTTGAGAAGACGAGGTCATCAGCTACAGAGCCGGAGATCTTCAACTTGTTTAACCACGGTGTACTTGCGGAAGTGTCGGGACAGGTGGAGGCGAATGCTATCCACGTAAAAGCCGCAAGTTCCCAGGATCCGCATGTTGCAGAACGTGGAGAGCGAGAGGTTAACAAGTACATCACTGCCACCGCCGATGAGGAGAAGCAGATGAATGATTCCGAGGCGATGGCAGAGTTGTTGGCCGTGAAGCAGCTCGCCACTGAGACGGTGACAAATGCAGTACTTACTGAAGGGAGTGAGAAAAGTATTAGAAACTGGATCTCGAGCTTGGAAAAGGAACTTCAAAACATGACAGATCTTGATGTTTGGACGGTGTGTCATCAGGACAGTGTTCGTGAGCATTTCCAATTGGATGAGTCCGAGAGTCTTCCAGCTCCTTTGCCTATGAAGCTGGTCTTGACAAAGAAGCCAATCCTTGAGGGAGGAGAACAAATAGGGGACGTCAAGACTGGAGCAGCGGAGAGTGCAGAGGATGCTGAGTTGGATTCGTTCAAGGCAAGATGCCGATTGGTGGGATGCGGAAATTTCGAAGGAGCTCCAGGTGACGACCTCTCATCACAGAACATTGATGCAACGGCATTAAGGTACATGCTCCACGTGTGGGCCCGAAATCGTGATTGGATTGCAGGTGCTTTTGACATCAGCGCTGCATTCCTGAATGCAGTGTTAGAGCCGGGACATAGAATCACTCTGAAGCCACCGGGTTTGCTGGTGAGATTGGGTGAAGTAAGGCGACGGATGTCTTGATTCCCAAGAAAAGCCTGTATGGATTGAGATCGGCACCCCGGGCATGGGAAAGAGAGAGAAGTGAAAGGATGGACAATGCGATGATTGCGAAGGCTCCGGGTGACTTGTATGGCGACCTTCATCTTAAGCCTCACAGTTTGGTACCGGGATTGTGGAGCATCTACGATGGGAATGAGATTGTGGGAATGACGACTATGTTCGTTGACGATGGCCTCACCATTGGTCCACCGGAAGTGGTCATGCGAGTCATTGAGTACGTCCGCGCGTTATGGAAAACTACGATTCAAGGGTATCTGGGATGGCAAGATGAAGAGCTTGAGAGCCGTGGTGATTTGAAGTTGGAGCGAGTCAGTGAAATGATGTTCTTGGGACTTCGGATAACTTTGACTTCTGAAGGGGTATGTATGGACCAACACAAGTGGCTGAGTCAAGAGCTCAATCGGCGAGGATTTCTGCACTTGAATGGCTGTGATGCCCTACCTTCCTTGGACAATGCGCCGACTCAACCAGCTGAGAAGAATGCAAACTACCACAAGGCATTGAAGGAAGTGCAATCCGATATCGGATCACTCATGTGGATATCTCTTAGGACGCGCCCCGATGTTCAGGCATGCACCTCAATGCTAGCTTGTTTGTCTACTGTTGATCCGGAGTATGTTCTGAAGTGCCTGAAGAAGGTTTGGAGGTATTTGCGAGGAACCTTCTGGCTTCGCTTGAAGTACACAGGAAGCCGTGAAAGGACCATCACAACGGCATCTGACGGGAGCTTCGCTCCACAAGGATCCCGATCAAGAACCGGAATCACATTGTTTGTGGGCGAAGATCTGATTTCTTGGAGATCAGTGAGACAAGGGCTGGTAGCATGGTCAACCATGGAATGTGAAACGGATGCGGCTGCATCAGGGCTACAAGAAGCTTTCAGGCTCAAGACGATCATTGAAGAGTTGGAGGGGGCACAGTATGAGATCCGGATGCTAGTCGATAACCTCAGCTGTGTAACCCTGCTGAACAAGCCTACATGGAACCAACTCGGTTGGCGCACACGGCATTTTGCCATCAGAGCGTCATGGATCCGAGACCAGCTCCGTGATGAAAGAGTGACTGTTCAACACTACGCGGGTCGAGAGCTTGTTGCTGATGCGTTAACAAAGGTGTTGCAGAGAACGCGTCTCAGGGAGATGAGACAACGAATGCAGTTGACATGATTTTGTGAAAATCCTGGAGGCTAGAAGCTGTATAGGTCAAGCCGTGGTGCAGGAACTGGCAAGGGATAAAGTTCATCCGAATAATTTACATTAGACTTTTGGAGGCTTCGCCGAAGGAATAGTCCAGCGGGCCTTGCATGAGCGCTTTTGAGGGTGCCGGTTACCATGCATCACCCGTGGCAACCGCCAAGGAGGAGTGTTGCTTGTGACATGCATCGGCCCCTGCGCAAGGTGACACGCACAAGCTTCGAAGAGAGCTTGGCTTAACCATAAACTATGCCACTGACTGTGGCTCAAGATGCAACAAATTCTCTGAGCGGATCATGGGGGTTGGGGTTATTCCGGGTTTGGGATTGGGGTCCCTTCCTGGTATCCTCGTCCTTCCTCTTCCTGATAACCGAGACCCGAGCCCGTCTTCAGGGTTTCAGGGAGGGATTAGTTCGTTCAGGGATTCAGGGCTAGGAGGTGAGTGAGGATTGAGGTGAAAGGCATCTCCGATGGCGGGGGATTTTAATGATGTTCCTCGATGTCTCCCTTCTCCGACTCCAACTCACTTCAGCAGAATATCAGACGGAAGCCCTAACCAAGACTTGGACTTCAGGCTCAGAAGCACATAAAGATTTCAAGACTTTGGGCGGCGTCCAATCTGCAGGCAGAGGATACAGTATGGGATTCGGGTTTGGGAGTTTAC